TAATATAAGTATTTCACTTTAGTATATACTAACCTTGTCTTTACTAAACCAGACAGGATTTATTTCTAGGCCCTTGTAATTGCTGCCACCCTAGCCTGAGGCTGAAGTTCTCAAAAGCTGACCTGGGGCTCAGGTTCTCAAGCCAATCTGGGACTGAAGTAATCAAGCTGGTCTGGGACTGAGGTTATTAAGATTTCTGGGATCCCTCTCATCCAAAGACCCTCCCCGGCAATCAAGATCTAAGAAGAGAATGCACCCGAAAAATAGGCTTCCTCGTTCTAAGAATTATGACTGTTTATACCTAAACAAAACAGACGTCATGTTTTATGATTATTATTCCTATACTTTGAATGCTTTACCTTTTAGAGCAAAATGTTTCACTTACTTCCCCTCACCCATCCCACTGCTGTAAAACTCCTTCTATAATAAATACGTATGACTTCTGGCCATCAGGGCTGCAGTTCAGAGTTTACTCTGGCTGTAGCTGGCTAAGAACATGCTAAAGGGCTTGAGGTCTTAGTCTGATTCCTGAGCACCCACCCCGGCTGGGGTACAGCTCCCAGCAGGAGTCTCATGCAGTGATACCCCCACCTCCACCCCTGAATTCTCGGCCAGCCAAGACTATGGACACACATGCCCCACATGAATAGCTCAACCTGGGAAATGATCTGTGATCTTCTATCTGGATCCAGCTTTATCTGAGCAGTGTGCTACTCCTACTCCACTGACCTGGCCCTCAAGTCCCTCTTTGTATATCAAGAAACTCTCAAGAATTTTAGCCAATTATGCTGACTTTGGGGGAATAGAAAGGGAAACTGAAACTAGAAATAAGTTCTAAATATACCACTCTAATCAAACTGGCATTTACTTCTTTGAAAGTATACTACATGATATTAAAGAACAGAAAGATTCTGATTGCAAATGGCATTGTCAGTTTGTCAGTATTTTTCCCCCCAATGGCATGTATGTTTAAGAGAGAGAGAGAGAGACACTGAAAGAAGCACCTCCTCAATGGGACATGGGCACATCACAATCTCTTCTCCATTTCTCCATCCCATCAGGACTTTCTACATGCATATACACATGCCTGGCTTGTACTTGAAGCCACTGGAGCAGGATTTGAAACATCGTTGCCATATAGGATCCAGCTTCCATAACCAGTCCAGTTTAAAATTTTAGTAGGTCATAAGACTGCTATTCTGTAGGTAGTCTCAAGTCATTTTCTTTTGTCCAGACACTCCACTTAGTTAATTACTCTCAAATTAGATACAGTTGTAAATAACAAATTTACAACTATTTCTAAAATGCTGGATGAAAATTGCCTTGAATAAATCCACTTTATTTCTGTCACTGACAAGATTAACCTATTTAAATTTATTCAATGCTCAATAAATCATGAGAAAAATAGGGAGACCAGATCCAGTAGGTTCACAGAATTGAGGTGAAATTGATGAGTGTATGTCTGTGTGACTGACATCATGTGACATGATTGTCCTTAAAATTGAGTCTCTTGTATATCATTTGAATCTTTGAAATGTTCTTAGATGAACTAGATTTCTGTTTGGTTGACCTACATATTGAATTAAAAGAAAGCTCTGAGTTGAAATGTAGTATTCTAAGCTTTGTGCAAGTTCTGATATTATTCATGTGAAAGAAAAATGAAACACTATGTACATTGTAAAGACATGAAAAAGGGAAGAACTTTTCAGGTTTGGAAATAAGTCAGAAAGGAATAAAAGTAAATGATAGAAAGATTAAACCTTACAGATGCAGTGAGGTATAATTTTGCCATACAGAGAGTAAGATTTTGGTTTTTAAGTGATTTTATAATTTAGGTGAAGATGAAGTAAATGAGTAAAATGCAAGACATGAATATTGTGTATTAACCTTAAAAGTGTTTATTTCTTCCATGAAAGAGGGAGAGACAGATAGAAGGAGAAAGGAAGATGGGCACCACCAATAATCTTTGTGATATGATTGACACTTCAACCTCAGCCCGCCTAGTTCATGGGCATGTGCGCAAGCCCAGTGTAGACAGGGTGGTCCTAGAACATAAATGTAGACCCTACATGTGGGTCCAGTCTCATTACCACTGCACTACCACCTGGTCCCTGTATTACTGTTGAAAGAACCAAGAAATTACGTTGCACTTTTGTCAGAATTGCGTAACTCTACAGCATCATGGTACTGGTTGCAAGTTGGTCTAAATTGTAATCTCTGTTAAAGAATGCCTATGCGCCTATGTAATACTGAAGAGAGGTTTGCTCTTTTTAGCTACATTCTCTCCTAAATGTGCTAGATACATAAAGAAAATCTGGTAATCTGCTTGACTCCAATATACTACTTGGAAATTTTTAGCAAGAGCAATTCAAGATTGTATAATATTTAAAGCATCCCAAATATCTATTGTACAAAAGAACACTAATCATAAAAATAACATTTAATTCTCTCATGATCTTTGGAATGTATATTTTAAAACTCAAAACACCATAGTGGAAAATGGAAAACAATTTGTTTATAGTCATTATCTTCATCTGTTATTGTGTTGCTAACAGAAATACTCAAGACTGGGTAGATTTAAGAGAAGGCAGATTTATTTGCAAAATTCACCTTTCTGTTGCCTAGAAAGTCCCAAAGCATTGGACTACAGCACGGTCAATAGAAGCACAGAAGATGTCAGGTGCTTGGGGAGAAAGAGAGAGAGAGAGAGAGAGAGAGCTGCAGGCAGGTCTCTCTCTTGAAGAAACCAACTCTCATGAGAACTAACCCCTTCTCAGAAAAGCAAGTACTCATGAGGTCCTTCCAGACGTTAATAATCTATTCGAGAAGTTGTCTCCATGAGCGATCACCATGTTCCAATCACCACAAATAGGTCTCACCATTTCCTAACATCAAATTCTGAAACCATGAAATTCTGGGGGACAACTATTATTCAAACCATAGCAACCTTTATCTTCTTTAAAAAAAAAAATACACACACGCACACACACACACACACACACACACACACACACTGAGATATGTTGATGTAGGCTCCAATGACTAATTTAAATTAAAATGTCAGAGTATCAATCTTTAATTCCTTCTGAGGTTAATTTGGTGACTTGTCATTTAAAAGATAAGTGAAGTAATTATAAGGAAAAAAGAGGTAATTTAGTAAAAATAAGTGTCTATTTTTCACTTATTTTGATTCTGTCAGTGTTCTAATGAGCTAAAAAAATTAGTAGGTTTTTATTAAACTTTTTTAAAAAGATACTTAATTTCATTTATCATTATTATTTTTTAGTTTACTACAGGGCTCATACACTCATGAGAGAGAGAGAGACAGGAAAAGAGAGAGAGAGGAAAAGAGAAAGTGAGAGAGCAAGCTGCCAGGTCTGGGGCTCAAACCGCAGTCAGTCATATGGAACTCCAGCTCTTTAACCAGAATGCCACCTGCTGGTCCCATTAGCAGATAATTTTAAAATAACAAAGGAAGTGAGGTTAAAAATGAGGAACTGCAGTCCACTCTAGATAGAAGAGACATGCCTTTGGCCAAGAGGATGGAAAAGAAATGCCAACAGTAATGTTCTGCTGGGTGATTTTACAAAACGGGGTCATGAAGAAAGGAGGAAACTGAGTCGCTAGTAAGTCTTTAACGTGGGTTTACATTCTTGTCTCTTTCAAAGCATTCAGACTTGAGAAATTATCACAGCTGTACAAAAGAAATCTGTGGCAATAAGAGTATTACAAAATTAACCGGTAGCTTACCTTAATTACAACCAAATTTGGTCGTACTCTGGTGTTTGACCCTTCACTCTGGCAGTAGAGAATTCTGAAACTAGTCCTGCCAACCTTAAGGTTTTTTTTTCTTTTCATTTCAAATTGTCTTAATCTTTCTGCTCTGTCTCACAACAGAGCTAAACCTAGGTTAAGCCACGGTCTGCAGAGTTGGTACTCCGTGCTCAGACCAGCAGCATCCCCAGAGCTGTCCCCACTGATGCAGATGAAAAGCACAGGATCTGGAGATCTACTTCCAACCTATGGAATTCTGCATTTCAATGAGCTACACAGATGATTGACTTCTATACACACTGAAGTGTGAGAAGCACTGGTATGCAAGACTCATTTCAGTTCCTGGGAAAAACACTTTTTTTCTAACAATACGATGTGACAGTTCTTGTGACTTTTCCTACTACCACCTTTATCCAGTGTCCACTGAATTTCTGTTAAAAAATAATAATTTTCTTTCTTTTTGGCACTTCTAATTCAGACAAAATTTCAAATTTGGTAAAGTTTATCTTTTTATCTTTTTTTTTTTTTTTTCTCCTAGGTGGTATGTGTGCTCATGAGAGGCTGAAAAGCTGAAAAGTGAGAAAGAGAAATCACTTTTCTATTGGGGAGTGGTCATGCTGCAATCTTTCCTCTTCCATTTCTTCATTTCACCAGGATTTGAGGCATACACATATATGCACCTAGCTTGTTTTTCAAGCCACTGGAGCCAAGATTAAAACCATGGTCAGCCATGTGGGATCCACGCACACCCTCTGGGCTATTGAGTGGCCATCGTAAAGTTTATCTTTACTGTGTTCTTTCTTGTATTTTTTTTTTTTTCATTTCTACTTTTTGTACCTACTTTTCCTCTTACAGCAGTCACAATAACGTTTGAAATTGTAAACCTCAGGACTAGATGTTGGTGTAGCAGTGAAATACGGCCCTATATGAGGCAGACTCACATGGCAAGGTTAACGGTTCACTTCTAGAAACCTTTTTGAGTTCACCAGGCCCACATGTACCCATGATCTGGGCTGGCGGAGGCTGGAGGGTAGATTGTAGTGCAGATATCCTGCCGGGGTGCTATGTCTCTGTTCTTATCTCTCTATGTCTGTGTCACTTATGGAATCAATAAATAATATACATATTTACTCATGAGAGAGAGGTTAAGAGAGAGAATATCTACTTAAATATATAATGTCCGTCTTCATTCTCTGTCCATGCTACTTCTCATTGCTTACTCAGTTTAGTCACACTGGCCTCCCTGCTATCAGTCGAACTCACCGAAGTCTTTCCTATGTCTGGGTCTTTGCCCTTCTTTATCACTTTTCTTAAAATATAGTCAGTGGCTTATCTGTGCTTTTATGTCGGGCCCTCCATTGATCTAGTAGCAGCTCAAATACTTTCTTCTATGTAAACTGGATATTTTCTAAATGTCAACTTAATAAACTCATAGTTGATACTACTTTAAATTACATATTATAATATAAAATTATTAACATATAAGACAAGAACACAATCTACTAACCTATGAATCCTGTTGCCTGGAATAGCATTTGGTCTATGAAGTAAGACCTTCATACTTTGTTTAAAAAAGAAAATAAATGAACAAGCCTCCTTTCCTTACATCTATCTTACTCAGTTCAGGTAGTTAAAACATATTCTGAGAACAACATGTGTTCTAGGCATTTTCTTAAGTGCTAGTGTAAGATGAAAAAATAAAACAACAGTCCCAGTTTCCAGGATATTTGTGCTCTAGAAGAGATGGCCATATATAATGTTAGGTTATAATAAATGGAGTAGAATTTTGACAGGAAGGAAGGTCAACCTAGGTTGAAAAACATAAGGAAAGAACCTGATAAGTTAGTGAAAGGATGAGGCATCTTGTAGTTACTTACTTTGAAATTATTCTAATAAGAGAGGCAACTCACTAGATATAAGTGGAAGCAAGGAAAGACACAAGAAAAAGCAACAACTTATATGTGACCAGAAGAAATGTCTAGGTAAATTTTAGATGATACAACTTAAATTTAAGTGTGCACATAAATAACCTGACAATCTTGTTAAAGACAATCTGCTTGTGGCTCACGTGCAGTTTGGGAGATGGTCTCAGAATCACTCAAGCTTACTTGACTCCTCTAGTCTCTTCTTCCTGAATAGGAATAGATAAAAGCAAAAATGAAGACCAGTCAAACAAACAAAAAAGTTAGTTTAAAAAAATCCTGTGTGAGGGGGGCCAACTGGTAGCATGGTGGTTAAAGCACTGGGTTCCACATAACCAACTGTAGATTGAGTCCTGGATACAGCAGTTTGAAGACATACCAGGCATGTGTGTGCCCTAAATCTGGAAAGAAGAGATGCTGCATGACCATCTCCCTGGAGGATGATTTCTTACTTCCCATCCCTTCTCTGACAAGGGCACACACCCTATAGCAAATTGTAAGACAGAGAAAAAATATCATGGAAGAAAAAATGTCATTAGATAATTATAAATATAATTTATTCTAGCTATTGCAATATGGAGAAGTTTTGTGGATGAAGAACCTATAGAAGAAAATCACTCGGGGGTTATAAAACAAACGAGTTATTGAGAAAGGGTGAAAGTGGGTCTCATCATGAAAATATACATGGGCAAGGTATTCTTGCAGTTTCTCTGGATACAGATAATTGGGAGGATTTCTTTTTTTTTTAACTTTCTCTGTTTTCTGGGACTACAGGACTCAAGTTAAATTCAACACTAGTACCACAAAGCTCCCCTTTGAAGAACTTATAGAAGTCACTTGCTATATTCTTTTAACTGTCAAAAAGTGTATCATTGGCCTACATATCTCAGTGAGAGCAGTAGTAAGAAAACAAATCAGAATCCAAAAATCCAGGTAAAGTTGAGAATAAATAAAATATCTAGCATTACCATTAAGACTCTGTATTTTGAAATATAGAAAACTTGAGACAAAATGTCTTTGATTATTAGAATATTGCATAACTGAAAAACAGTAAAGAATTAGAGTTAATATGGTATTTTGTGGCTCAAAATAAACTTTCTTTCTTTCTTTTTTTTTTTCTAAATTGCCAGGCACTTGGCAAAAAGAGAAAGAAGAAAACAGCTCCCAATCAGGCATAATCATGCCACAATCCTTTTTCCTCCATTCCTTCTTCCTGTCAGGATCTCGGACACACATACACACATGTGCCCAGTACATTTTTCAAGCTCCCGGGGATAGAACTCAAGTCACAGTCAGACACGTGGGACCCAGCTCCCTGTGCACAGCACTTCACCACTGTGCAAGGTGCTGGCCCTCAAAGTTAACTCTCTCCCATCCTGAAAGCATGCCACGTCTGCTTAAGGTATTATGTAACTGACCCTGTGACTTATTTCGAATTTAAGTTTATTTTTTCTAAAAGAGAAGGAGAAAGAAATGTGCATCCCTGACATAGTTTTCATGCCATCATCCTCCCCAACCCCCAGTCCTGGCCAGCCCAGATTGAGAATGTCTGTTTAGCATGCTCAGGGAGGTCCTGCAATTTGAACCTTCAACCTTATCTGTGTTGGTCCTGTTATTTTACCACCATGACACCACCTAACACCTTATTCTGAATTTTCATGGAACCTATAGAAAGAATAAAATTTTCATATAGTTGGAGCATCACAAATATTTACTTATAATAATGATATAGATTTATAATTTAGTTCAAATGATATTTCAAGATATTAATACTCTTGCTAGTTTCATTTAAAGTTTATATCTAAAATCTATTTCTTAGAGCTAAGTAGGCATATCCATTTAGAAAGCACAAAATAAATTATTCTTAGAAGGGCATGATTTTCCTCCTGGAGGGACCTTTGGCACTATAGAAAAACACTCGTGATTGTCATAACATGGCGTGGAGGCTGCTAGTGGCATCTGGTGGGTACAGACTAAGTATCCTGCTAAACAGCATACCATGCAGCCCTCAAAACAAAACTACTTGGCCTGAAATATCAATAGTACTAAGTTTGAGAGGCTCTAGAGTAAATAAGTTTATATGTGTATATGTTCTCATGTCTTTAGAGATTTAGATAATGCACTTTAACGTGTGTATTTGCAATTCTCAGAAAACTCCAAAATCCTGCTAATGTTTTACTGGCTAAAATTTCTGTGAGAGGGACCAGCAGATAGGATCATAGTTATGTCACTGGACTCCCATTGTAATTGACCACAGTTCAAACCCTGGAGCCAGCAGCTTCAAACTCTTACTGGGCATATGTGTGTGCATGCCCAAAATCCCAAGAGGAGGATGGAAGAAAAGGGATTGCAGCACAGCCATTCCCCCCTAGGGGGTGATTCCTTGCTTTCTGTCTCTCTGTCTGTGGGGAGCACATGCACCCTCTAGAAAAAAATATCTCTGAAAATAAAAAATAAATAAATAAAAAGGGTGTGAATCTATATTACTATAATCGTTGAGAACTTGGCAATATTGTTTGCCAATTATTCTCTGATAGAGTAAATTATCTGGTTCTAACTGAAAGAGATAAAGAAATTACCCTCATTTTGATACTGGGTCCCAGTCCAAAATAATAGCAACAGAAAATTGGTAGAATAAAGTTGACATAGTACAAATTTATATCCTAAATTGTAGAATAGTATTAATTTGGGACTTTGACACTTTGTGAGTATTGAAGGAAGAAATGAAAAAAGAAAACGATTCAGAAGTTATGGCTTTAGGGACAGCCTGTGGCATTGTGGATAAGTGGGGGTGGATTTTATATGGCTGTGAAGTTTGAGTCTCAGACTCAGCGGCTTGATAACTATGCTAGGTCTCTCTCTCTCTCTCTCTCTCTCTCTGTGTGTGTGTGTGTGTGTGTGTGTGTGTGTGTCCAAAATCCCAAGAGAGAAATGAAATAGAAGGTATGACTATCCCCGTGGTGGGAGCTTTCACACTTTTCCTCTATCTAACTCAGCTAAGCACGTGAACACTTTGCAAAATTAAAAAGGAAAAAAGAAAAAGTTAAGGGCTTCACAAAATTACTCTAAAGGATTTATATTTTTGTCTTGGCAAACTTGAGAGCAAAAGAGTTTCGTTGTGTCTTTCTATAGTTAAAGATTCATGGATATACGTGTAACTCTGTGAAGAGAACATTCTAATTTAAATTCAGGGAAAGGAGGATAAATACTTAACATAGGAAGTGATCAAAGAAAGTCAATCAAAGAAAATGTAGTCAGTGAATTGTAGTCAGCTCAAAACACTATTAGAACGGCTAGGTTCTTATATTTGACATATTCTAGATTGTAACGAGAAAGATACTTCAAAAGTTGTAGTCATCCACATCAGAGAATTTGTAAAGACAAAATACATAAAACA